GTATACACGTCCTGTCCATGGCATGCGACAACTGTCGCGATTACCCTTCTACCTCACTGCTCAGGTAATCCTTTCAGCCACCGTCCCTGAATTTATGAGAGAGAGAGAGAGAGAGAGAGAGAGAGAGAGAGAGAGACACTTGCAACAATAGACAACACGTGCGAGGTTTTACTTTCGCCGTATACACCTCCTGTCCATGGCATGCGACAACTGTCGCGATTACCCTTCTACCTCACTGCTCAGGTAATCCTTTCAGCCGCCGTCCCTGAATTTATGAGAGAGAGAGAGAGAGAGAGAGAGAGAGAGAGAGAGAGAGAGAGAGAGAGAGAGAGAAGGCAGGAGGTGGTACTGTAGATTGTATGCAGATCTCTTTGCTAAAAAATGACAATGTCAGTTGCTGATCCTCGAAATGAACGGTCAATGTACATGCTTTTCTCATGCTACGTAGTGATACCTTGCAACCACCAGCCTCAGAGTAAGCCATATGTATTTCTGCCTGTTTATGGACCTCGTCACATCTCGGCCATTGGTATAGAGTCTATAGACACATAGGGAGTACAATTGTGTTTTATGAACTTTACCATTCTATCGCAAACCATTTTCGACTTATCCAGAAAAAAGAGCAACGATTGTCAACATAAAAAAAAACGCCACGTTGTTGTAAAGGCAGGGTATCAGGTACGGGAATACTCTCCGGGGTTCAGTCACTCGAAGTTTGGAATGACCCACTTGGAGCTTGACGTTTGACGTTTGAAGTTGGAACTCATGAACTTATAATCCACAGTTCACCACAACGACAGCAACAGTACAAACTTACAAAGTTCTACAAAGTACTACAAACACAGATACACGTGTTTACTATCAAAAGCACGGCAGAGTGTTTGCCAATTAGCCTGACAGCAAGAGCACACAGCCACTAGTGGGCACCAGTGGGGAAGCAGTTCGATGGGGCAAGCTGATGGGAACCACAAAGTGGCACAAACCTGTGTACGGATCCGGGCGGCCCGGCCGACCGGCGCCTGCCGGGGGGAGGTCCCCGGCAGCCCGGCTGGGGGCCGGCCCCCCCCAGCACACCTTGTTGGCGGGGGGTTTCCGACCCCGAATCGGCGAGATTTCGCCTCCCCAGGGCCTACCGGGTCTGACCACGCCGAGAAAACGGCGCGTCGGGCCCGTGAGGCCTGTTTTTCTTTTTTTGAATTTGGGATGGCCCTCTGGCTGTCGATCATCCATGATCGACGACCAGGCGGCCATTCGTTTTTGGAGGGAAAACGGAGGCCCCGTTTGAACAAGCGACTGGCTGGGGCGGCCTGCATTGGCTGTCCAAATGGGGCCTCGATACCTGCTCCAGCCACCTGCGTTTGTCGTTGAGTCGCCCGTGAGCTTCACTCGCCCGTCGTCGTCGAGTCGGCCGCGGCCCGTCGCCAGCGTCGGCGATCGTGGTGCTCCTGCCTGCCGACAACCCTGCCGCCCGTCGACGTGGAGTGCCTGTCTGTTCTTCTTCTTCTTCTTCTTCTTCTTCTTCTTCTTCTTCTTCTTTCCTCCTCCTCCTCCTCCGCTCACTCTTCTGCTTCTTCTTGTCTCCTCCTCCTCCTCCCCCTCTCATCTTCTTCTTCTTCTTCTTCTTCTTCTTCTTCTTCTTCTTCTTCTTCTTCTTTCTCTTATACCTCTTCTGCTTTTCTTCTTCCACAACTCCTTCACTCCTCCTCCTCCTCCCCCTCTCATCTTATTCTTCTTCGTCTTCATCTCTCGTCGTCGTCCTCCCCCTCTTCTTCTTATTCTTCTCTCCTCCTCCTCCTCTTCCGCTAATCTTCTTTTTCTTTTTTTTTTTACATTCGTTAGCGATAGGTCATGAGATAAACGGCAGGTAAGGGGGAAAAAAAAAAAAACTGCTCCGCTCATCATCTTCTTCTTCTTCTTCTTCTTCGCCGATCATTCTTCTGCATCTTGTCTCCTCCTCCTCCTCCCCCTCTCTTCTTCTTCTTCTTCTTCTTCTTCTTCTTCTTCTTCTTCTTCTTGTAGGACCGCCGCCACAGCCCGCCGCCATACCCCGCCACCATACCATACCGCCCTGCCGCCGCCATCTTCTTCTTCTTCTTCTTCTTCTTCTTCTTGTAGGACACCGCCACAGCCCACCCCCATACCCCGCCACCACACCATACCGCCCTGCCGCCGCCGCCATCTTGTCCATCATTTGGTAGGTCGTGAAAACATGCAGAGCCCCCACCCCAGTATGTACTTGGTATTGCACATGCAGCAAACAGCAGGCAACATACATGCAGAGTCCCCAACACCCAGAAACACCGCCCCCCCCCCCCCCCCCTCTCACACCCAGACAACCCGTTCCCCCCCCAAACCAGAATTTTATTGCAGATTCGGGGCGCCGAGCACAGGAGGACCATGCCTTCAAAAACAAAAAATAAAATAAAATTCTGGGCTGTTCTTTTGCCTGCCCGGTTTGCCCGGGCGGCGTCCGTACTCGGGCACAAACACAAAAAAAAGGGAAAAAAAGGAGAAAGATGGGAGGGATAACTGCACCGGCGGAATGGAATCAAGTTCAATCAACAATAATGGTTGATAAGTAGATTTTTTATTATTATTAACAGGGTTACCAGCCCGTACGTACGGA